CCTCTTCCCCGTTTTCCAGGGGGGGGCGCCGGCGGAGCCGCAGTCCGGACCGGCGCCGCCGATGATGGATCCAGACTTTCACCCATTCGTGTTCAGAGTCCGCACTGGGGGAAACTGGGAAAACTACGGGGGTTTGTACACAGCCTCAAGGAGCCAAAGCAGCTCCATCCCTAGGGAAATTTGGGTTTTATGGAACTTTATTGTTTTCAAAGGACAAATAAGAGAGGAAGCAGCAGTTTCTGAGGGCTGGGGGGGATCCTTTCCCAGCCCCTCATCTCAGTACATCCCACGAGTTTCTTCCATGCCCCAGACAAATGGTCCCTAAATCTCCCATGGTATTTATCCCACCAGGAATTCCTTGTTTTCTGTTAAATAACAAGATTTTGTCTAAGTTTGTCTTCTTGTTCTTTGTCCTTCATTAAAGCTCCCCAGTCCCTGCCATGCCCTTTTCCCTAAAATCCCTCCCCCATCCAGGCTGCTGGATCTGCAGGGATCCTGAGGATTGCTCCCAGCCCGACAGTAGAGCAACTCTGGTCTTGGAAAACCTTTTTTTTTTCCTTAAAACTGGCATTGGGAAGCAACCCAATGGGGTCCCCGTGCCCAGATGTGCTGGTGTCTGGCTGTGCCAGTGTCCAGCTGTGCCCCCGGCTGTCCCCCGTGTCCCCAAGCCCACAGATGGGCCCACTCTTCCCACTCAGAGACACTGGGCTACACTGGGGCCTTTATTGCCAGATCCTGGGGACTCCCAGTGATGGATCTAGGGGGGAAAAAAAGCTGCTGAGAGGATGAGGCAGGAGCAGGAGGAGGATAATGGGGGGGACCTGGGAGTTGGGAATGCACCCACCAGCTCCCCGAATTCGGGGTAGTGCAGAGTTTGTGCCAACAGAGGGATGGAAGAGTTGACCCTCAGTAGGGTTCAGAGGTGCCACCGCCCAGGGTGAGGCTTTCCCAAAGGGGTCCTGGGCTTGGGGTGGGGGGTCCCTAAGAGCCAGGCTCAGGAGCCAGCCCCCCGCAGAAAGCCCCAAGGTGCCTCAGGGCCTCTGGCTGCATGGAATGCCGGCGGAGCAGCGCTCGGGGGGGCAGCGGGGGAAGTAGCCCGGCCCTGCCCAGCCCGGGGGGCTCCAGGGGAAGCGTTCCAGAACCACGGCGTTCCAGCAGCCCAGCCGGGTGCCGGAGCGGCCCGGGGGTGGCTAGCTCAGGATTAGGGGGGTCCCGGCGCAGGGGTTTGCCCCGTGGAGGGTCGGGGGCTGGAGGCCAACGCCCCGGGGTGGGGACAGGGGGCACTCGTTCTGCCCAGGTGATTCCTGGCAGCTCTGAGACCTCGCGCCCCTCCACACTGTGCCGGCGCGGCCGCAACCGCAGCTCCTCCAGCCCCAGCGCCAGCCGCTCTGGGGAGGCTGACGTCCCTTCCAGGGGTCCCCGTGGGCCCTCAGGGGAACCCCACGAACCTTCCGAGGGGCCCCATGTCCCCTCCAAGGGTCTCCGTGTCCCTTCCAGGGGTCCCCGTATCTCATCTAAGGTTCTCCGTGCTCCCTCTGAGGGTCCCTGTGTCCCCTCTGAGGGTCCCTGTGTCCCCTCGGAGGGTCCCCGCATCCCTTCCACCCCTGGCACCACCAGCCCCCACGGCTCCGAGTTGAGCCTCTTCAGCTGCCGCTTGGGCCCGGCCCGGGATGGTTCTGGAGCGGCCCCCGGAGCCGCGGGCGGGAAGCGGAACACGTCGCGCTCCTCGTCCGTCGCGCCGGCACCCGGCGACGCCGCCGCCCGCACCTGCACCTGGGAGGGGGACGCGCAGAGCGCGGGCGACGGGGGCGAGTTCAGGTATTGCCGAGTGGTCTTGGTGCCGCGGGGCGACGTGGCCGAGGTGATGATGATGACATCGCGCCCGCGCTCCCGGCACGCGTCCAGCAGCACCTGCAGCGTTTCCCGGTCCCCGCGCTCCAAGGCGTAGACCAGCGCCGAGCCACCGGCGTAATCCCGGGCGCTGGGGTCGGCGCCGTGGGCCAGCAGGGTGGCGACCACGGCCGGGCCGGCGCGCTCGGCGCAAGCATGCATCAGCGCCGTCTTGCCGGATTTGTCGGGAATGTTGGGGTCGGCGCCGTTCTCCAGCAGGTACTGGACCATCCGCGGCTGCTCGGGCGGGTCGGCGTAGCCGGCACGGCACGCTGCCATCAGCGGCGTCGTGCCCGCCGCATTGCCTTCGTTGATGTAGGCGCCCCCCTCCAGAAGCAGCCGGGTCAGGCGGAATTTCCCTTGGGATACGGCGCGCAGCAGCGCCGAACCCTCCGCCGGGATCATGGGGAGCCCCACGGGCACCGAGGCGCTGGGGGCGCGGCGGACAGGGCTGGGCATGGCCGGGCTCACGGGACAGAGCGCGGGGACAGGGCTGGCGCTCGCTCACTGCAAGGGGATAGGACGCAGGGTGAGACCCCCGAGTCCCCCCTGAGACTCCCAGGATGGGCACAGGGTGAGGAGACCCTGGAGTCCCCCCAGGATGGGATGTCCGCCCTTCTCTGCCTCAGTTTCTCCAACAGGGGAGGTTTCCCGCGAGGCCGAGCCCCCTAGCGTGTGTCCCTCACCCACGTCCCCCCTGCCCGCACCCAAAACCCCACCCGCCCCTGCCGGCAGTTCCTCTCACATCCCTCCAATCCCTTCCTGCACCCCCTCCTCATCCTCTTCCCTCTTCTCCCTTTGTCCCACCTGCTTCCCCTGCCCACAACCCCAGCCCCAGCCGTACTCCTACACCCTGCCCGTACCCCCATCCCTGCCGGTACCCTGATCTTTGTCCACACCCCATCCCTGCCTGCACGGTTCCCATGGCGACGGCCGCTCATCCCGCTCCGACCAGCCGGGAAAATGGGGGAGACTCCGCCACCTTCCCAGTCCCCTCGGTCCCCTCAGTGAGACACCCCCCAAGCCAGGCCTGGGGGCTGTCCTGTCACCCCCCACGCAATGAGGACACCCCACAGCAGGGACCCCCCATCCAGCCCCTCTCCATCCCCATTTTTACCGTGGCAACCGGAGCGTGGGGTCCCTCCACTCCAGGTCCCGGTTCCCGCGGCCCCGAGGACGGGGGTGTCGGGGACAGCGGCCCGTGGCCGCCATCCCGGCCTGCCGCCGGTGAGGCGGGGGGGCGGGAGGTGATGTGGAGGGTCCCCCCCCCACTCCCGCAGCGCTATTTTTGGCAGCTGCCGGCGCGGGGGGGGGGGGGGGGGGGGGGGGGGGGGGGGGGGCTGGAGCAGGATGAATCACCCACGGCGCATCCAGAGCCCGGCCCTGCGTGGGAGTGAGGAGAGGGGTGCAGGGGCCGGGGGACACAGGAGGATGTGTGTGGGGCAGCGGGACTGGGGGTCACGGTCCAGCAGGACTAAGGGCCGTGGGGCAGAGGGACTGGGGGTCGCCGTGCAGGGGGGCTGAGGGTCCTGGAGCACCGGACATTGCGGGAGGCCAGGGGGCAGTGGGCCGGGGGGTTCTAAAACAGTAGGGCTGGGGGCCGTGGGGCACCGGCAGTGGGGAGGACAGCATAGTGGGGCTGGGGGCCAGGGTGGCCCGAGTACCGGAGGGCCGAGCTACCCCAGGGCAGAAGGGTTGGGGAGTCCGGGCGTACGGGGCCGAGGGACCTTTTGAGCTCCCTTTTCTTACCCCTTTTAATCGCCCTTTTCTCAACCCTTTTGATCTCCCTTGTCTTACCCCTTTCCATCCCCCTTTTCTTCCCCTTTTCCATCCCCTTCCCATCCCCTTTTTCCGCTCCCGCCCCTCCATCCGCTGATCCCTCCTTGGCCCCGCCCCTCGCCCTCAACAGCCAATCAGCGCGGGGCTTGTGCACAAGCACCGCCCCCTGCGCATGGACGCGTGTGGAGCGACTGCGCCTGCGCGGGGCGGGAGTGGCGTGGGGCTCGGTGCTGGGATCGGGGGTACGAGAGGGGACACGGGGACCGGGAGGGACACCGGGACCGGGAGGGACACCGGGAGAGACACCGGGACCGGGAGGGACACCGGGACCGGGAGGGACACCGGGAGAGACACCGGGACCGGGAGGGACACCGGGACCGGGAGCGACACCGGGAGGGACACCGGGACCGGGAGGGACACGGGGACCGGGAGGGACACCGGGACCGGGAGGGACACCGGGACCGGGAGAGACACCGGGACCGGGAGGGACACCGGGACCGGGAGGGACACCGGGAGGACCTGGGAACGGGGATGGAGACGGGCACGGGGTCCCGGACTGAGACGGGACACCGGAACAGGGATGGGGAGTACGGGGACCAGGGGGACACACCGGGATCAGGACCGGGACCAGTTTTCGGGAGAGGAAAGAACCGACACCGGGGAGCACCGGGAGCGAGAACGGGGTGGAACCGGGACTGTGGGAGAACACCGGGACCAGGAGCCGGGGCGCGGGATAATCAGGCCCGGGGGGACGGAGGGAGAAACTGGGTCGGGGAGCGGGACCGGGCAGGGGATGGAGGTGTCACCGTGTCCCTCCTTGTCCCCAGCGGCCCCCGGGGCTCAGCATGGCGGGCCGGGGCCGCGGCCGGGGCCGGGGCCAGATGACATTCAACGTGGAGGCCGTGGGCATCGGGAAAGGGGACGCGCTGCCCCCGCCCACGCTGCAACCCTCGCCCCTCTTCCCGGTGAGTCCTCCGGGGATTTGGGGGTCCGGAGTCCCCTCGTGGACTGAGCACTGACACGATCGTCACATCTGTCCCCTGACCCAGGCCCTGGAGCGCCGCGCCGCGCCCCTGCCCGGGGGCGAGGAGGGCGAGTACATGCTGGCCCTGAAGCAGGAGCTGCGCAGGGCGATGAGGGGGCTCCCCTACTTCGTCAAACCGGGGGCACCCCGCAGAGGTACCGGGGAGGGAAGGGGAGGGGAGGGTGGTGTAGATCCCGACCCTCCTGCATGCCCCTGTCCCAGTTCCCACTGTCCCCTCCACCCTGCTGCTCCCCGGCCTTTCCAGCGTTGTCACCCCCCTCATCCTCCACCCCACCAGGCTGGGACTCCCCAGCCCTCCCATTTTATTCCATTTTATCCCCCCCAGCTGCACCTCCTCGTGCCATCAGCCACTTCCATGCGGGTCCCACAGGTGTCCCCAGGGGTGGGTGTCCCCTAAGTTGCCCCAGAGTGTTTTCCCCACCTTTCCCCTGCAGACATTGAGCGCTACTCAGACAAGTACCAGCTTTCCAGCCCTACAGACAATGCCATCGACTGGAGCCCAGGTGAGGGGACACAGGAGGGGATCTGGGGGGCGACGTGAGTTCACTGGGGGGCCGACCAACCTCCCACTTTGCCCCATTTTGCCCCCCAGACTGGCGGCGGCTCCCACGGGAGCTGAAGATCCGGGTGCGGCGGCTCAGAAAAGGCAGTGAGTGACCCCTTCCTGTCCCCACCCTGTGTGTCCCCTCTTTTCCCCCGCGGGCTCACAGCCTCCTGTGTGTCCCCTCTTTTCCCCCGCGGGCTCACAGCCTCCTGTGTCTCCCCCAGGGACTGCTCCCCTCGTCCCCAAGCAACGCTTGGCACTCGACAAGGAGGAGACTATTAAGAAGCTGGAGGTAGCGAGGTGAAGGTGGGGGTGTCCCCACTGGCTGGATTTTGGCGTCTTCCCCCCAGTAACACTCCCCTGACCCACCCAGAGCCTGGAGAAGAAGGAGGAGGAGGTGACATCAGAGGAGGAAGAAGAGAAGGAGGAGGAAGAAGAGGGAAAGGAGGAGGAGGAGGAGGAGGAGTATGATGAGGAGGAGCACGAAGAGGTAGAAAAGGGGAACCCTGGGGAGGTTGGTGGGGTGGGGACATCCCCAGGTGCCGCCGTGTTCCCCTTGTACCTTATTCCCGTGTACCCACAGGAGACCGACTACGTGCTGTCCTACTTTGACAATGGCGAGAGCTTCGGCCCTGACAGTGATGATAACGGCGACGAGGCAGTGTACTGACCCTGAGGACGGCGACCCTCGAGACCACGCACCCCCAGGCTGTGGGGAACCCCGAGACTGGGGAGCCTCCTGGAGCGGGACCCCCTGAACGTGGGGTCTCCCACAACAGGGACCCCTCTCCCCGCCCGCAGGACAGTGAGGACCCCAGTTAGCAGGGGGTCCCTCACCTCCCCCAGGACAGTGGGGACCCCCTCATCCTATCACCTGGAAGCAGAGCCCCCCTCTCACCCCTCGGGGACATTGGGGTCCCCCGTGAGCCCGGCTTGGGACAGCGGGGTCCCCTGTCCGCCTGTCATTGCTCCGCTCCACCACCAGGTGGCGCCAGTGGTGCAGGCCCGGGGGGGGGGGGGGGGGGGGGCCCCCCTTTGGGGGGGGGGGGGGGGCCCCGGGCGCCCGCGGGGGGGGGGGGGGGAAAGGGAAACACGGGGGGGATCGTGCTTTTTTGGGGTGGGTTTTGGTGTCATAGAGAGTCCCCAAACATGTCCTGTCCCCCCTCTGACCACTCCCACCACCCCCCATTTGGCAGCAGCTTTTTTACTTTGGTGCTTTTTAAAAGAAATTTTGCGTGCATTGAGGTGGATTTTGGTGTTTGTGCCTCAGCTCTGGGTGCTTTTTGTGTGGGTGATTGGATAAGGGGGTTACCAGGGACGAAGAGGGACTGTAAAGGGAGAAAAGGGGTTTTTTTTGGATGAAAGGTGGTTTTTTTTGAGGTGGAAAATGTGGATTTCAGAAGATAAAGGTTTTTGGAGCGAGAAAGGTATTTTTTTGGTAAAGGTTTATTTGAGTGGGAAGGTGGATTTTTTTGGGGAGGGAAAGGTATCTTCTTGTGGGTCAAGATGTCTTTTTGGGGGAAAAGATGTATTTTTGGGGAGAGAAATACGTATTCCAGGTGGAAGGTGCATTTTGAAGGAGGAAAATTTGGTTTATTGTGAAGGAGGTTTTCTTTGGTAGGGAGCAAGGTGTATTTTTTTAATAATACCTGTTTTAGGGGATAAGGTGGATTTTGGGGGAGGGAAAGGTAGGGCTTTTATCAGGGATGAGTTTTTGGAGTGAGGAAAGATGGATTTTTGGGGGGGCGAAGTTTTTCGGGGAGAGAGGGAATTTTTGGAGGGGAGCTTTGTCTTGGGGATAAAGGTGCTTGGGGAGGGCGGTGTTTTGGGGAAGGGCAAATGTGATTTTTATTTTTTTTTTTAGGAGGAAGGAGTGTTTTTTCTCGAAGGGGGGTGTGTCTGTGCCGCGGGCCAGGGGCGGGGGCTGCTCACATAAGCGTCACATGCTGGCCCCCTCTCCCCCGCCCCATACCGGTTCCTGTTTGTGGCCGCGAACATTCCAGCAGCTCTGGACGTCCCGTGCCATCCCCTTTTTTATCCCTGTTTCTCTCTTTTTCCCCCTCTTTCCAGCTCTGGGACTCCCATCTGTAGCACCCGGTGTTTTCAGGGAGTGGGATCTGCTCTCCCAGCCTGGGGAGGGTTTTGGGGACTGGGCAAAGTGCCCAAATCCTTTGGGTACGTGTCACCCCCGTCACCTGCACACCTGTTTTTCCCCAGTACTGTGGGGTCTGTCCCACCTCCGTAGGTCCCCTCCTGTTCCTGCCCCATATTCCCACTCCATTTCAACCCTGGAGGCGATCACTGCATCCCTGCCAGTGCTCCCAGTTTACCCAAGGCCCTTTGGCCCAGTTGGAATTTGTGGGGAAGCTCCGGAGCCAGCACGGATGACGGGCCCAGAGCCAGGGAGCTGCCCTGGAGGGGGTCCCCAAAAAATGGGGGAGTCCCTGAAAAGCAAGGAGAGTCAGGCTGATCTGTGTGGATCCCGCTCTTGTGCAGAAGCCAGGCAGAGGAATGGTGCCGGAGGTTTATGGCCTTAATTAGTTTAATTAGAGCTGTAAACTGGGGTGGGGGGCAGGGTGGGGACAGGGTTCAGCCCTGGCAGGGGGAGGGGGGAGTTTTGGGGGTGGTTCTGGCTCCTCCAGGGCCTTTTCCAGGGGGGAGAATCGAATCTTTCAGGGGGGGTCTCCACCATCAGAGTGGCAGCTCCTCCCTAAATTTCGGGGGGTGGTTCTGTGGCCCCCACCCCTCTCGGTCCAGCCCATCCCTGGCCCAGACTGGGATGACCCTTCCCCTCCTCGGCCGGGAGCCAAAACGGCTCCAGCTCCAAAGGAAAACTGAGGCACAGATGGGGGATGAGGCTGGGGGGGCCCGGGGGGGGGAGGCACGGCAGGTTTGGGGGGGCTCCAAGTGGGACAAAGGACAAGCAGCAGAGCCAAGGTCACGGCCTTGTTCTTCAACACCAGCACCTTTCACCCACATCCCAAAAATCTGCCGAGGGGGCTCCTACAGCAGTGCCAAAACCGGGCAGGAAGGGCAGGAATATTCCCCTGCCTGCCCGAGTTTCCCACTCTGCACCACTCCGGGTTTTAATCTCTCTGTGCTTCACTTTCCCCTCCTCGCACCAATTTTCTGCTCAGCTTTTTGCTTTTTCCCCCTGGAAAAATCAGGAGGGACCACCACCCCACACCCAGGGCTGCTCCCAGGAAAAAAAAAAAAAAAACCAAAAAAATAGAAATTGGGAAAATAAGGTTAATCTCCACTCCCAGGGGGTTTCTGCCATCCTCCCACTCCCAAGAGACACAAGAGACAGAAGACCATTTCATTCGTTTATTACAAACTTTGCCCCCCAGGGGCCACAAAAAGGTACAAAATTTGCATTTTCGTGCTTCTCCCCACCTCCCCCGAAATACTACGTACAAAACCCAAGAGTACAAAAGGCGCTGGTCGCGACACCGAGTTCGTGTCGCGACAGGATGGATTCACGATGTCACAGTGTCCCCCTCCCCCGGTGGGAGTGCAGGGCAGCCAGAGCAGCACCCAGAGTTACAGAATCAGGATGGAATTAGTTAAAACCGGAATTTTCCTGCCTGTCACCACATGTCATGACAGGGCAAGTGACAGCCACGACAGCCAAGGTTTTCCAGCTCTTTTCCAGCCGGATCTGCCTTGTCTCCCCACCCCACCAGTCCTTGAGGGTTCTCTGCTGGCTCAGAGTGCCAGGGTTTTCCACAAGATTTGGGTGCCTGGAATGGCCCTGGAGCAGCGGTTCCTCGAGAACGCAGCAGTTCCTCGGGAATGTGGCAGTTCCTCGGGAGCACTTCCCCCTCCAGGTGTGTGTGGGGCCAGACGTGCTGCAGGCGTGTGGCACATGGAGCCGAGTCCAGAAAGGCGGGAGTGACCCGCAGGGCAAGCTAAGCTGCTCACTGCACGTTGTTGTTGTTGTTGGTGACACAGGGATCCACCTGGGCGACGGAGCAGGAAGCGGGTGAGGGATCCAGGCAGGTGATCCCAGATCCACCTGGCCCATCCCGTGCTGGCGCCGGGCTCACCTCCGTGTAGGTGGGGGGCGGCATGAACTTGAACTCGGGCGCATACATGAAGATGGGGCTGTCAAATCCATCGGGATCGTCCAGGAGTGGCGTGGTGGGACTTTCCAGCCGGTGATCCTCGGGAACGATGTCCAAGTAGCACGGGGGTGCTGTGGGATGCGGGGAGGGATTCGTGAGCTCACCTGCGTGCAGCCCTCGAGCCACTGAGGGGCTCCCCACACCCTGCGATTCCCACCCGTGTGGATCCCACTCCACTCACCCTCTGGAGCATCTGGGAGATTCAGGTCCACCCAGCTCATCTCAGAGCTCGTCTGACTGGCCATGCTGGAGCTGCGGCTCCCGATGCCAGAGCGACTTCCAATGACCAGCGGCAGCTCCAGGATGATTTTCTTAGAGCCTGGTACGCTGACGTAGATCTGCAGGAGAGCCGGGATGAAGAGGATGAGAGGATGAAGATCCCCCCAGCATCAGGAGGAAGATGAGGGGGAGGAGGACGAGGGGACGCCCCACTCACCTGCAGGAAATACTCCACACGCAGGATGTTGCAGCCCAGGATAGAGGGTTTGAGCTTCCTCACACGGATGGTTTTGCCCCGCCAGGATTCGGAGGTCCCAGAGATGATGTGATTGCCACGAACGCAGGAGAGTTTCTGGGAGAAGACCTTGGTCTGGCCATTGGCCAGGTACGTGTGCTTGGCCACGATGGCCGCCTTGGGCACCACGATGCGTGAGCAGGTGTTCTCAAAGTCTGCATTGATACAGATCTCATCGCCTGCCAAGGGAAAAGACCCAGGTGTTAGGGATGTTCAGACACTTCCTTGCTGGTTGCTCCCCGTTTCCAGTTTCCTGTTCCCAGCAATCCTCACCTTCACAGAAACCCTTCCTGTCGATCTGGGCGCTGACAGACACGCGTCCGTCGGGGATGAACATGCACGACACTTTCTTCTCCTTCTTGGCTGCAACTGGAGACTGCAGAGAGAGTGAACGGTCACATGCTGGCTCCATCCTGTCCTTCCCACCCTCCACCCACCCTTCCTTCCTTCCTTCCTTTTATTCCTTCCCTTTTTGCAACCAACTCTTAAACTCCCCTAGAGCACAGAACACGCCCTACGCAGTGTCAGTTTCTGGAATTATCCAGAACTCCTTAATCCCACCCTTAATCCCACTCAGCCCAAATCTGATTAAAGATGCCACTGGGTTGGGCTGACCCTCTCCAAGGGCTTTTCCCTCTAGCCTTTGGAGCACTGGGGACTCACCAGCAATTCCGGGGTGTTCACATCCACAGGATCCATCACCTCAAAGCGTTTTTTGACCTGCTGTGTGGGGCAGGCAGGACGCTCCAGAGACGCCTTCACCCAGTAATCCACGGAGCCATACTTCCCTTTGAACGTGGTGCCCAGCGGCCTACAGACATGCAGAGGGTCACTCCAGAGCAAAAACACGGATTTTCCAATTTAATTCCATCCCCAGTGGCAGGTGCTGCCTGATACTCACCCCTGGGGCAGCTCAAAGCCGAATTTGTACTCATACTTGTTCCCAGGTCTCAGGATGACAGAGCCATCCTCATCTGGAGGAGAGAAAGGGAAGGAAACATCAGACGGAGCTCCAGGGTGATCCTCAGTTCCAAGGGTGTTAGGTAACACACTCCGGGAACCTCGTGTTCTCTCCACGCTGCTCCCTTCACCTCACCCCAAGGCCCCGGGGCAGAGCAC